CTCGAGCCACTGCAGGGTCTGACGTGAAATTGGAGGTGTTCGGGCTTCAAGAATGGGTATCTTATCACCAAAGCTTCACATAAAAAAGAATCTGGTGTTAAAATAGGAAGTCTCCTAGTTATTAAAATGTAATTTGACTTCCAGAACCACAGCTTGCTTATAGTTTGCATAGAGAAGAATACAATTAGATCCATCTTTTCCACACACACAAAGCTGCCGGCCTGGCTGCAGTATTGGGCTGATGGCACTTCTGAGCCTGGATTAGTGACATCCCTTGGGCCTTTGGGGTCCCAGGGAGCTCTGGTGCCTGTGGGTCTCACAGAGAGCAGGAGAGGAGCTCCACAGAGGAGCTGGCAGGGCTCAGATGGGTGTCCGTCCCTCGCCACGACAGCACCTCCAGGGACTTTGCGTCTGTCGCTGTCTGTGCAAGTCTGCAGCAGCAGGTGGAACAGGAGGGAATGGAGGTGGAGATACAGTCCTTAGGAGGTCAAGGACAGAGCAGACGTTGCTAGGTTTCCGAGGAGGTCTGCCCTCCCCTCCGTGCATCCATCCCACCCTGCGTCTCGGACTTGCTCCCTGGAGCAGGAAGCGTGCATGCATTACCTGATTCCCAGCCCCCAGTTTTTTTTTTTTTTTATAATTTTATTTATTTATTTTTCCCCCAAAGCCCCAGTAGATAGCTGTATGTCATAGCTGCACATCCTTCTAGTTGCTGCATGTGGGACGTGGCCTCAGCATGGCCGGAGAAGCAGTGCATCGGTATGCGCCCGGGATCCAAACCCGGGCCGCCAGCATCAGAGTGCGAGCGCTTAACCGATAAGCCACGGAGCCGGCACCCCAGCCCCCCAGTTCTGATGCTCACATGCTGGTTGGAGCTTCGAGGTGCCAGGGCCATGGCGGCAGACATGAGCATGGGAGTTGCTATGAACGTGGTTCTCTCAGTGGTCTTGGCCCGTGGGGAGATGGGGGTGTCATCTCCCCCATGACCACAGCCGTGCTCCTAGCCAGAGGCCCATGTACTGGCTCTTGCCTTCCCCGATGTTGTCACCTGCCATCCAGGCCCTTTTCCCGGGGCTGCTTCTGCCTCTGACCCAGGCGCACAGTACACAGCCGGTGTGCAGTGAGGACCTTGTGTTAGCACGCTGGGCAGCACCACCGAGGCACTAGCTTGTCCACGCACCCTGTTGTCAGGGCACTGCTCCTCCAGTTCAGAAGTCCAGGCTCAGGGCTGCCCACAGCTGGGCTTCCTTCCCCGGTTCTAGGGTGGCCTGTGCTAGGGCTGGTTTCTCGTTAGTCCGTTCCAGGGTCTGTGCGTGTTGTGCCTTGGTCCTGCTGACACAGTGAAACGTGTATCCACGGAAAAGTGAGCTCGGGCACTTGGAGGTTCTGTGGGAGGAGGTCACTGGGGAGACGTTAGCTCTGTCCTCCAAAATGTGAGGGTACCCCAGGGGTACACGTGGTCTCCAGAGGAGGGAACTCATTGGGGGCTGACAGCAGCGCTGTCAGGAGTCACGGCTACGAGGGGTGGGCTGTGCCCAATCCTGTGCTCCCTGCCCCAGCACCCAGTGCGGGTGACCCTAGGGACCACCTCTGCGGAGCCTGGCCCGCCGCGTAGAAAGCTGGGACCAGGGGCGGCTGCCCAGAGCATTGCCGTCATGCGCTCTGGGGAGGGAGGTGAGTCACCGATACCTTTCCCCTTTGCCGAGGCAGCTGATTAGCGCATTCCTGGCCTGGGTTTGCTGGGAGGTTGTGGGTTGGAGTCCAAAACCTGGCAGGGCTGGTGGATTAACGAGGCAACTTCGCAGACTCTCGGGTAAGCAGTTAAGGCTTAACAGCCTGGAAGTTCCCAATCTCTCTCCCTTCCTCCTTCCCGCCCTCTCTTCTTTCTCCTTTCTCTCTCCAGGTGGTAGGAAGCTACCGTCCTGGAACCTAAAAAAGCAACTGCCAGGCCTGTACACCAGATCCTCAAAGTCCTCTGGCATCAGAGCCTGCCCCGGGAGCTGCACCGACTCTCCTAAGAGGCTTGTGTTTCCTGCTGGACGCAGGGCATTCCTTGCACTTTTTTTTTTTTTTTTTTTTTAAACATCTTTTCTT